GGTATGACTACAGAAGTAGATTGCCCAACCATCCTTCCAAGGAGTGGCTGGTAGGTGTGAACTGCCAGCCTTCTGGTTAGCAGTCACATGCCTCAGGCACTACACTGAAATGAAGAAATAATGAAGAAAAGAGCTGAACAGAAAATTTCAAAGGGCAGCTCAAGAAGACAAAGAAAAGTATTATTATAATGAAACATGCAAAGACCTGGAGGTAGAAAACCAGAAGAAAAGGAACATGCTTGGCATTTCTCAAACTGAAAGAACTGAAAAACAGATTCAAGCCTGGAGTTGCACTATTGAAACATTCTATGGAGAAAACATTAAGCAATGCAGGAACCATCAAAAGAAGATGGAAGGAATACCAGATTCACTGTACCAAAATAAACTAGTCACCATTCAATCATTTTTGGAGGTAGCATATGATCAAGAACCAATGGTATTGAAGGAAGTCCATGTTGCACTGGTGCTGGTGAAAAATAAATCACCAGGAATTGATAGGATACCAAATGAGATGTTTCAAAACATGGATGCAATGCTGGAAGAGTTCACTTGCCTATGCCAAGAAACTTGGAAGCAACTGACTGGAAGAGATTCATATTTGTGTCCATTCCAGAGAATGGTGATCCAACAGTACGCAGAAATTATTGAACAGTACCATTAATATCACATGCAAGTAAAATTTTGCCGAAGATCATTCAAAAACAATTGCAGCTGTATATCAACAAAAAAATTACAGAAATTCAAGCTGGATTCAGAAGAGGATGTGGAATGAGGAACCTCATTGCTGATGTTGGATCTTGGCTGAAAGCAGAGAATACTAGAGAGATGTTTACCTGTGTTCTATTGACTATGCAAAGGCTTTTGACAGTGTTGATCATAACAAATCATGGATAACACTGCAAAGAATGGGAACTCTGGAACACTTAATTGTGCTCATGTGGAACCTGTACACAGACCAAAACAGAACAAAGGGATACTACATGGTTTAAAATCAGGAAAGGTATGCATCAGGTTGTATACTTTCATCATACTTACAAAATCTGTATGCAGAACAAATAATCTCAAAATCTGGACTATATGAAGAACGCAGCAACAGGATTGGAGGAAGACTCATTAACAACCTGCAATATATGGATGAAAAAAGCTTGCTTGCTGAAAGTGAAGAGTACCGGATGCATTTACTGATGAAGATGAAAGGTTGGAGCCTTCAGTACGAATTACATCTCAATATAAAGAAAAAAATCCTCACAACTGGACCAATAAGCAATATCATAATAAATGGGGAAGAGATTGAAGCTTTCAAGCATTTCATTTTACTTGGATCCACAATCAACCCACATAGAAGAGCAGTCACAAAATCATATGACATTTTGCATTGGGCAAATCTGCTGCAAAAGACCTCTTTGAAGTGTTAAAAAAACCAAAGATGTCACTTTGAGGAATAAGGTGCCCCTGATGCAAGCCATGGTATTTTCAATTGCCTTCTATCCAAGAGAAAGCTGGACAATGAATAAAATATTGAAGAAGAATTGAACTATGGTGTTGAAGAATACTGAATATACCATGGACTGCCAGAAGAACAAACAAATGTGTCTGGGAAAAAGTATACCCAGAATGCTCCTTAGAAGTGAGGATGGTTAAGACTTTGTCTCATGTACTTTGGGTATGTTTATCAGGACGGGCCAGTTCTTAGACAAAGGATATCATGCTTGGAAAAGTAGAGGGTCAGTGAAAAAGAGAAAGACCCTCAATGAGACAGACTGACACAGCCCTCCTTGGGTTTCCGAGGCAGTATCACTACGGAAGTAGATTGCCCCATCTTCCTTCCGAGGAGTGGCTGGTGGGTTTGAACCACCAGCCTTCTGGTTAGCAGTCAATTGCCTTAGGCACTACGCTACCAGAGCTCCCCCAGTTTATGATATAGAACATTACTGATACAACAGAAGCATCCCAATTTTCCTCCCTTGAGAAAATTATTCCTAGTAGTTGGTGTTTTTCATTTCCAGCCATGTAGTCTTGTACTACACCTGTTCCCATAAAAACATATTATTTTGCATGCTTTAAAATTTATATAAATACAGCTTTCTTCAGAAAACTTTTTTTCTTTTGTTTTTGAGATTTGTGCCTATTTCACCTGAAGTTCTAATTATTTTTTACTGCCATAAATACTCCATTGTATAACTATTCTATATTACTACACTCTCCTATTGACAGATATTTAGATAGTTTGCAGTTTCCTACTATTTAAAAATAAGGGTACTATGAATTTGTAAGGAGTTCTGGTGGTACAGTGATAAGGCACTTGACTGGTAACTGGAAGGTCAGCAATTCAAATCCACCAGCTGCTCTGCAGAAGGAAGATGGGGTGATCTACTTTCATAAAGATTTACAATCTTGGAAACCCAAATGGGGGTCTCTCTGAGTCAGAAATGACTAAATGGTAGTGATTTTTTTTTTTTTTTTTTTAATGAACTTTGTTGTTCTTTTCTCACTATACACGTGAGAGTTGCTGTGAAATATACAGGTAGTCCCTGGCTTAAGACATATTTGAGTTGCAATGAACCACTGACAACTGTACATTAAAATTTTTTTTTATGTATCTTATCTTTAGTAATATGTCCTATGTACAATGTTGCAGGGCATAATTTGCTGATGCTATCATTCTCACTAAGAGGTGTAGTTGATGCCTGGTTTCATGGCATTCAAAGACAGAATTGTAGCAGTAATAAAAAGCAATAATGATGAAAACTAAAAAATGAGATATTTGACTTAGGTCAGAAGTGACTTATGATGAAGTATTTGGAATGAAACCCTGTTGTATGTTAGGGAGTACCTGTATACTGAGAACTGTTGGATTATTAAAAAAAAGAAAAAAATTAGGGTCTTCAATATTACTAGATATGCTAATTGCTTTCTGAAGCCGTGGTACCAATTTATGTTTCCACCAGCACTGTGTGAGTGGCTCACTGCTTCACATCCTTTGGAATTCTGAGTTTTTTGTAAGCAGGGCTTTAGATGTTAGGATCCACTGTGGCTGGAGTTGAGGATATATCGCTCCAACTACTGCAGCTTCCAGTCACCCCCCAAGGATACTTCTAGCTTGGAAGGAAAGTCCATGGTTAGAATTCTCAGAAGGGCCATTTTTTTTCCCACTTAAATCTGATGTGCAGGCCAAGTCAGAAAGTTCCTTATCATTTTCCCATCCAGTGGATTTCTGTTCTTGTCTACTTTACACTGATGGTGTTGGTCTTTAAAGATCTAGTCATTATGTGTGAGACTGTTATAATTTCATTTGGCACAAGAGGTGCAAGCGCTGAGTGGCCATTACCATCTAAACTCTTTGCTAATCGAGATTGCTATCCTCTGCCCTACTACCCAGTCCCTAGCCTGAGAGCCTCAGTATCCATTCAAACTTACTGTCCCGGTTTTATTTTACTAAGGATGAGCTTTCTTTTATTTTCTTGTTTTGGCCTTTGGGGGTAAAATTTCTCGTGCCCTCAGCAATGCATTTATATAGAAATTAAGGTCTTCTCTTCATGATTTTATCACTAATAACCAAAGGGAAAATGGAGAATGTGGAAGTACTTCTATTCCCATGCTCTATCTGTTTCCATGTGTTAGCCTTATTTTCTAAATCGGCAGTGTCCAATATAGCTTTTTTCCTGTGATGGAAATATGCTGTAACCTGCTTTGTCCAAAACAATAGACACTTGCTCCATGTGGCTACTACTGAGCCTTTGAAATGTGGCTAACAAAACCGATGAACGGAGTTTTAAATTTTATTAATGAAATGTAAATTTAAGTATCCATATGTGACCAGTGTCTACTATATTGTACAGTACACATTCTTGGTCTGGGTGACTTTATGTAATGATAAACCAAAACTGTCTGGAAATTAATACCTTACAAATCTATTTCTGATAGTTAGAGGATGAAATAATTGAGTCATGACTTCAGAGTATCTGCCACTACAAAGTTACCTAGCCCATTATTTTGATGATCAAGTATTTCTCACCTGACTTGTTTTTCTGGGAATTTTCAAAGATTACAGTGACAGGTTTAAGGCACATTCCTTTCATTGACAGCCTGTGACTGGAAGTCAGGGAATCATTGTCCAACAGTGTTTTTCTCAGTGTTAAAGTGTCAAGAAATCCTAAAGACAAATAACGAAAAGCATAAATACACATATTTAGAATGTAACCTCAGACAAATGATTAGGAGTACAATTTGGCTTATCTTTGAACTGAAATGTTTAATGGTAACCTGAAAATGTGTACAGGTTAAAACACAAACAGTTCATATGATTTATTCATAGCATTTTCTGGGGGTAAAAAGAAAAAAAACAAGCCTACTGTTCTAGGTCCAGACTAGGCTTACATTTATAATTTTTCAAGCTTTCAAAAGATATTATTTGAAATAACTCTCAGTTCTTTTTCGTTGCCCTCAGTACAGGTTAAGAAGACTATAGCGAAAATGAAGTATGAATTATAATGAGAATAATAACATATCTGGAAACAAAGTTACGTAAGTCCGCCATTTCACTGGTTGGCCATCAAAAATAAAGACTTGTGAATATTCACCATACATCATCTACTTCTAATTTCCAATCGTTCCCATGTTATATTCTTATATAAAATCTATGTCCACAGGTTTTGCATTTAGGAAGGTACTGAAACGGATTCTGAAGTAAGAATAGTATTGCATGGGATGAATAAACTATCTCAAAGATATAAAGGCTAATGGTTTGTTTTTTAAAAAAACAGCACATATTTCCAGACAAAACTGATTCCAATTCATGTCCAGAGATATTTTCATTGTAACTCATATGATTTAAAACGTCCATAAGAACTACAGGCCCTCAACTCCAGTGAACATATTTCATACATCTTACCTATTAAGGAATTTTTTTGACACTCCCAAGATAAAATTAAAACAAAACAAAAAAGAAGTTTCCTCTAGAAAGGAAATTTTTGCATAATGAATACTGTATATACATTTTTTCAGAGAGTATGCAGCCCACTCTTTTCTTGATAATCTTCATAAAAACGTCTCAACGATTCAGGAATTCGAGGTGTCACAGTGTTCAGGGCTTGTATAAAATGCCTTTTCCTAATGCAGTTAGCGTGAATGCTTTCTTCCAGAGCCAGCAGGGCTGCCTCTCTACAAACAGCTATAATCTGCAACAAGAAAAAAAAATGAGGGTGGGGGTGGGTGGGGAATAAAATAATCAATACTCTTTTTAGAAACTTAATATCCCAAATATTCATTTGTGCTAACTTCTACAACACTAAGTGCATTGCTAAAATGTATCTGTGAGAGTCATTCCATTAAAAATTTCCAAAGGATGAAAAGCAATCACACACAGAACATCTTGTTCATTTATTCATTCCAAAACAATTTCTTGACTACAGTACTCAGACCTGTAGCTTCAAAAAGATGTATAGGATACAGCATTTTGTTCTTAAGTAGTTTATAATCTCAGAGGTGGAACAAATACGCACATACAAGTTTTAACACACGGCAACAAAGGAGGAATGTGTATGCCTGGTCTGGGGAGGCAGGAACCAAGTGATAAGGGAAGGCACCGGAGGGAGATACTCAGTTATGGAGTGAGGCCTGGCTCATCTGCACACCTTGTCAGAGCATAGAATTTCCACATTCCTTTCAACCTTTGATGTATCACCAACACGTGAAAGCATTTCTTTATGTGCATCTCTTAAGTCTTGGGAATATCAGATAGGGTTGTCTACGTTTATTTTGGAGAACTGCATTAAAACAGAGAAGTGAATTTTGTTTACTCAGTGAGGAAAGCTGAAAGAATTGAAAAGAATCTGGGGGGTGGGGCAGAGTGGCTGGCCAAGGGAGGGGGAGAGTAGGCGGTAAGAAAACGGAAGGGGATGAAGGTTCAAGTCTCAAATCCTGAAATGTGTTTCTAAGCTCTCTGGACTTCAGACAGCGGAAGCAGGCTGATGCCAGTGTCATTCTAAAGACACATTACTGTGGTGAAAAGAGCTTGTGGGATGAAAAGAGATATTGTGATTTTCAGGGCAACAGGGAAAACAGTGATTGATATTGACTGCGCCCTTATATCTGTAAATGAAAGGGCCAGCTGAAACACATTTGTCCAGCCATTCAGCATATTTTCTCTGTTTGTTCACTTACTGAAAAGAGTTCCTCTGCTTATGCTGGGCTAATGGCTGCCAAAGCAGTTTAGTAGCTTTTTAGAGGATTTAGCAGCATGTTTAGGGAGCTTTCAAAAAAACATGCATAGATTTAGATGGCTTTGTCAAATTACGACAATGTAACTATTTTAGTTCTGTGCTCCCTTAATGAGCAATGAAGTTAACTATAGTGGTTAGGCATATCAATGGTTTTCAGAAAAGAAAGTGGTTACTAAGTTGTTGATGGCAAAAACAAAACTTCTCAGGATTAGTTAAAATCATATTATCACATATTCTGGTACAAAAATAGTTATTTTGAAAATAATGTGATAATTAATAAAAATAGTAAAAGCCTGTGAAATGCCCATCATCGTAAACTGGCTAACCAATGGTTTTACTGTGTTCCACGGGGTCCTGGGGACTTCGTAGAAGAGGTGAAAGGACCAACTGGGGAGACCTCTCCACCCCCATCTGAGCAGCATTTCTTTAATCTGTGAAAGGATTTGAAGAAATGGCTGTAAGGCTACAAAGTTGAAGAACCATTGGAAGAGGCAAAGAGAAGTCAATTTTCTGCTGGTCTGTGGAGTTTTCTCTAAGACAGTACAGGGAATAATTCCTTCTTGTGACTTCCTCCTAAAGCTAAGGACAGTAGTCACTGCTCCTGTGCAATGCCTTCTCTTGCATACTTCATAGCTGAGACTTATCTCCAAAAATCAGTCATTGAAAACCCTGTGGAGCAGAGTTCTACTGTGACATAGATGGGGTTGTCATGAGTCAGCAGTTGACTTGATGGCACTGGTTTAATAGTTACACAGTTACTTTTTCATCAATCAAAATTCACTGAATAGCTGTGCTGTGCAATAACTACGAGAAGCCAGGGGGAGGTTCCAGAGATGTGTGAGAGATGGTATCTATCCTCTGGTGCTTACAAACCAGTAGGGGATGGACATGAATGAACTGCAATGTATTATAGTGCTAGAAGTACTGTCAGAGAGGCAAAAGGAAAGTGCTTCAGGTATGGTGAGAAGGGAACAGTTACTGCTGGCTGAGGAAAGGCTTCTATAAACCAAAGTGTGAAGGACAGAATTTAGCTATGCCTGGTGGCTTAGTGACTAAGGCATTTGACTGCTAACCAGAAGCCTGGTGGTTTAAACCCACCAGCCACTCCTCGGAAGGAAGGTCGGGCAATCTACTTCCGTAGTGATACTGCCTCGGAAACCCAAGGAGGGGTCGCTTTAAGTTGGATCTAACTCGATGGCAGTGAGTTGGCTGGTGGTTTACATGAAGGAAAATGGTATCCTGAGTAGAAGGAATAAAGTAAACCAAAACACAGCAAGGTGGCAATAAAGGGATCAAGGAATACACTGAATTAGCCTTAGTAGCCAAAATGAAGAATTGAAAAAAAAATAAAGCGTAATCCTCCTATCAAAATATCACTAAAAATAATGATAGAGTTTTCAGAAGTCACATGGCCACAATGACAGTCATCTCTAAAGCTCTAAACCAAAGGAGTTGACTCATAAGTACCTGACAGAATATTAACTGCTAAAAGTCCCTTTGTCTTTATTTTATCCTCATGAAAGAGCTTCTTGGTAGAAATTCCAAAAGGAAAAGTATTAATTGGATTATTGGTTTTTCTCCCCTGGTCCATATAAAAAATGTAGGTCTTGGTGGTGCAGTGGTTAAGCATTCAACTGCTAACTAAAAGGTCGGTAGTTTGAATCCACCAGCTGTTCTGTGGGAGAAAGACATGACAGTCTGCTTCTATAAAATTCACAACCTTGGAAATCCTATGGGGCGGTTCAACTCTATCTTATAGGGTCACTATGGGTCAGAATTGACTTGATGGCAATGGGTTTGGTTCATTTTTCTTTGAAAATGATAGGACATCTATTTCATGATGGCTGGTTTTTATTTTCTCTGAGAATCGCATACTTTGGCATGAGCTCCAAGATAAGACGATCTAAATGCTCCCCAAGAAAAGTGTGACTTTCTTGCTCAAAAATCCGCATCGGCTCTCATGGTCAGTGTCAGTGTTTTTTCTTGGGATATTAGTGTCAATTCACTGGAAGACGTATTGCAAGGTCAAAGATGTTTTAGGAAAACAGTGTGCATACTCTATTCTCCACAATGTACTGTAGATTTTAAAGATTTTCTTAAGCCAATCAACGAAGATCTGTTTAATTTGTTAAATCACAGAATTCTCTCTTTCCCCATTCCTTGACAGAATACCTATAAACGGCTAAGTGTAGGGTTACTACTGATCCTCAGCACACATTTTGGGAGATGCTAACCCACACCAAACAACTCATTCAATGCCCTGCACAACATGGGAACTGACTGTCTGTCTTAAAATCTTTTTTGCTCTCCCCTATTTTAGAATAGAGAGAAAAGAGAAGGGCAAGGACAGGAACATAAGGAATAGGCACATTTAAGGGCTGAGAAGAGGGAGAGAGGTTGAACAGGAGGAGAGGATCTGAGAAACAGGAAGAGGATCAGGCTGTGTAATGGAGGCACAAGGCAGCAATGCTTGCAGCAGTCACAGCACCTATATGTACTCGGTACACATAAACAGTCAGCATACATCTGCTGAATTAAACTGAATAGTTCCTTAACTGTGAACAAGTTTTCAAAGTGTATGTTATGTACATTTTTTCCACATTTGGCCAATATCATGAAGTATTTTTTACTTAAGTTTGATATGATCTAGACTGTGTAAATTATACTTAAGTTTTTGGAATGATGAGAAAATAACAAAAATTATGTAACACTGTGATGTATGTTTATCTTAAGTAATATTTTCGGTATAGGGTATTATATTGAATAAACTTCTTTCCCTAGAAATAATATAAATTAGAAATTCTAGCAAGAATATACTCTATTTGTGTTATTTTTGAGGAATGTTCCCTCCCTCAGGTATCAAAATTTGTTATATGGGGGAAGGGCTTTTCGGCTGTGTTGTCATGGAAAAAACTGCCCTGAAATTGAGAAAGATCCCAAAAAACTTACAGATAATGCAGCAATAAACATTGGTTTGGAGCACTGAAATGGAAGCTGTGTTAAAAAATAATTAATAATAATAATAATGGTGCAAATAGTGATCTACTGTCTCACTTGAAAGTAATCTGGGATCAAGTAGTTGAGGGATTTTCCTTTCTCTGTTAAGCTTTAGAAGGTGAGGTCTTTTTAGATTAATTTGCCAACGCATCTCTCTATCTGGGAATATATGGTACAGAAACACGACAATGACGATGGCACAGGACTGGGCAACATTTCATTCAGGGCTGACTCAATGGCAACTAATAACAGAAAATGGGGAAGACGGGTCTTCAATTTAAACTAGTTATAATTTATAAAGTTTGCAAGAAAACCTAATAAGATGAGTGTATGTGCGCACATATGTGTGTGCACGCATGCTTGTGAGCATGCACACAGACATACACACACAGACACAGGGACCATCAATGCTGGCCACTCTGATGGCCATCACATTTGAAACCAGATGGAGCCTGGGACTGTCTCAATGATAATGAATTCAGCTGAATTTTTCCCAGGAGGCCACAGAAGAATCTCACTGAGAAGATGTGTAGAAGAATAGACGAATTTGAATCACAGACTGTCTGGAATGTTAAACTAACCTGTTTAGAAAGAAAACTCTTGGCTACTTGAGCTCCTTAACTTCTTTGGCAAAATGGAATTTGGAAGCTTTTCCCTAATCCCTTCACCATCTTGTTTTCTTCCTTCATAGGCTGCAAACTCTATCATTTAAAAGAGTTATTAGCCAACTATCAGCAAGGTTGCTTTTGCCATTAGGCTGTAAAAGCAAAATGTTTTGCCTGGTTCTGTAAAGCTCAGAATGTGTATTTTGTGTGCTTATTCAATTTTGACTAAAAATCAGATACCCAAGGTTTTAGAATATATATATGCTGCTTGCTGTAAAGGTAAAAATATTTTATGTTTGGGGAAATGAGAAAGAGAGATGAAAGGCTAGCAGAGTGGGCCTAAGATGTCAACTC